ACAGCTGCATATTGACTCTTAACTCCATTAAATGTCTCCTTTGCCATGAGAAGCTTTTAAAACCCATACAGTCCCTTTCGCCATATCTTACTGTTGTTTGCAAAGCTATTTGAAGTAGTGTATAGAGAGATGTGTTTATTCTATGCTTTCTTTTAGTAGTTTCAAACTTTATCTTAATTTTGTGCAGGATAAGGGTTGGAGATTCAGTGTAATTCTTTCATGTGTGAGTATATAGTTCCTTAACCAATTGCTGGAACAAGATTTGTTTTTCCTTAAGTGTTATTTCTTGAACCTCTGTCAGAATCAGATTGCTGTAACTATGTGTACTGATTCCTGAGTCCTCTGTCCTCTTGATGTATGTGCTTGTTTTGCTCTGGTGATGCACCGCTTTGTTACTGTGAGTCTGCAGGATAATTCGAATCAGGAATATCAAGCCCTTTTGCTACTTTTGCTCACTGTCTCTAAATCTTAAGTGTAACTATTTCAGTTACCTAAGGTATGTTTTTATCTGTTTATTAATGTTCTCATTTTGTTCTGTTCACTTTTATCATATTTTTCTTCATCAAGATAAGGGCTAGCTTTATTCTTAAAGGTCTTTAAAAAATAAAGTAATTGCCTATATCAATGATTCTCATATGGAGTAATCTTGGCTTTAAGGAAATTTGGCATTTATTCCTTCATATTATTTATTGTTACAAATGGAAATAGCTAGAGGAATCTAGCACATAAATTACTGTTAACTATTTAATTTTTTATTACTAAGGCTGTCTAACTCTAGCTTGAGATTTAATCTGATGACCCTTTGGTGCAGCAGCCTCTGTGGGTAGCCATCTTGAAATCCCAGACAAAATATTTTGCATATGTAAATCTGCATAAAAAGTCAGGTCAATAGCAATTGACTAATTCTATAGGAGATTCACTACCAAACAATGACAACCACTGAGTTTACTTGAACCCTCAACACACTCTACTACACTAATCAAGAGTTATCTTCTTTTTAGTGATCTAAGCTATACTTCTAAGTATTATTTTCCTTCATATTTTCTGACATTAATTGGCAAAGAGTAACTTGCTAAAAAAAAAAAAAAAAAGAACTGAAGTTCAAAGATTCTCAATTGAATCATGTTTCATGAATAATGACAGGTTGTAGTTGTCTTGGAGACTTGCTGATTTAAGATGTCAAATTAAAGGTCAAAGCATGAGTAAAAGCCAAACATCAAAGATCTTGGAGGACACACTGTCAGTCCAATGGCCAGGGATGCTAAAGGATGCTTCGATCTCCCAGAGAGAGTTCTTAGACTCTCACCAGGTTCTGGAAGAGTTGAATGCTCTGGACTCCCAGGAAAAGTAGGATGTCTCTCATCTGGTACTGAACCAGCATAGGGTCTTTTTGCTTCTAGGAGAGCCAAGTCAGGGGACACCAGTTTGATGTTTTGTTTCCATTTCCTGGGAGCATATTCTTGTATCTAGATATTAGAATTCATTTTGAGACAAAGTATTCTGAAAGCCAAACACAAAGCTCTACCGGTTTCTTCAGCCCTGGGTTCATGTAGTTATAGATATGGTATCATACCTTTAGGGGTACTGTTGACTTCCTCTGTAGTAAAAGGGCTGTGTCATTGGATTATTGGCAAAGCATCCTGGCAAATGTGAAAATACTTTCAATTATTGCAAGTGCTTAGTTTCTGCTTTGTTGACTTGTCCTTTTTTGAGAGTGGGGTGTTGAAGTCTCCCACTGTTATTGTGTGGGGATCTATCTATGTGTGGTCTCAGTTTTCAGCAGCAAAGCTTGCTCACATTTTGTTTCTCAGCTGATTTACATGTGTGGTCTGGTCTTCTAGGCAATATCATCCTAAATTTTCTAATTCCCAGAGGTGACAAGATTGAAGGATGGGTGGCACAACCCACACAGATTGAGTATTTATGTTCCTACACCATCCCAAGTAAACTTGTAGCAGTGCGTTTCACACTCTTCAGGAAAAGCATCCTATTTATGAGCTTTGTTCACCTCATAAGAGCTTTCCAGAAAGTTTTCCAGTGTAGAAGCAGGTTTCTGTCCTATCCATAAGCTACCATCATTCAGAAATATGTGCTAAAGAAGCTAAGGGTTTGGAGAGAAGAAATGTTGAATTCAATACCATGTATTTTATTTTATTGTATTTTAATCCTTTTCACTATTGTATATTTTAAAAGTGAACAAGAACTAGATAAGACATCTAGTAAAAACAAATGGATTCTTCTTTTTAATCTCTCAGTTTCAGAGATCATAATAACACAAGAATTTATAGACTGTAATATAGCTTTATTTAGCAGGTAATCACAGAAGGAATGGTTTTAGTGGCCTTCTGACCTTACCTACGCTGAGGAAGGGAGACCATGAAATTTGACTATAGTATGATAATGAATTGATAACACATACAAACCAGATTTCTGCTTACCTAAGCATCTTTCTTTACCTTCTATCTCCTATTTTAAAGCCAGAGGGGAGGAATAGTTTTCATAAGAATAAAAGAAGCAATATTTAATTGGTTATCTAACATAGTTAATGGTTGTAAAGTAATAGCAGACATTAGATTATGATTATCAGAATATAATATGTAATGTAATAATTAAAATGGAAAGTGGGAGAATTCTGACATAAATGATTAAACAAGGAGAGAAAAAATATGATTAGAATTTTAACTTTGTTTTGATTGAAAATACTCTCCATAAGAAAATAATACCATTCTTATGGCATGCCACATTTAATTCTAATAGAATTTAGTTCAATACACACATGCTAACATTAGATTTACCAGGATTTAAATCTGCTCCACAGTATTTTGCCAAAAGGAAAAATATTCAGCCATCCATTTCACAGAGCTAATCTGGTTGCAACTGTTTCCCTAAGAAAAACATGATTGAATAAAAAGGAGATAAAATAGTGGAGCAGAAAAATGAGATTTACAAAATTGTTTGTCGCTTTTGGGAAAAAATTTACAGCATGAGTGAAATTCTTGCCTTTATAGTAATAAAAAATTTCAGAAAGCAAAGCTTTCTCAGATAAAAAGGGAAGCACACAAAAATGTTCCCTCTGTAGCCCGCTAGGAAGTCAGAGTGAATGCCCTCATATTTGCAGCCAACTCCCTGACTTCCTCTGATGATAAAATAAGTATTTTTATTTAGTGCCTTTCTGCGCTCATGGGAAAAATAATCACAGAGCATTCAGGCAAGGGACTCTCAGCTGGCTCCATAAACCTTCCGTACAGTGTGTTCTGTAACCTTATTAAATATTAGGAAGCATTATTGTTGATTACAAATATGTGACACCGGCCAATAATGTTTAATGCCATCAGAAGAAAGGTGTACTCCTTGCAGATCTGCTATTGTGCCCTCTTCGCATGCAGGACTTGAACATAAGAGGCAGGAGGGCTCTTGGGGTCAGGGGGCAAAATGGTAGCCTGGGACATTGCTCAAGGATCAAGTTCTCACGGAGGTCCAATGGAAAATTGGATGCTGTGACTGCACTTGTTCAACATTTCCCCTTTGGAAAGAAACACATGAACACAGCAAATGTGTTTTTACCTATTCTCAATGTATTTCTACATCAACTATGGGAGGTGGAAGTTAATATCAGTGTTATTTTAATTTGTAGAGAAGAAAATAGAATCTCAAAATGAAATTGACAAAAAAAATCATGTAACTACCTTGAGTCCCAGACTCCAAAATTATTATAGAAAACCAGGTGTTGATTTTGACATTTGTAAGAATTTGCTAATGAATCGATCTGTATAACATGTACAGCATTTGTGTGACCAATACGCTAACTCAAGATTGAGCTATACCACTGTTAGGCATATATCCAAAATATGCTCAAATATAAAAGGACATTTGTTCAACCATGTTCATAGCAGCTCTATTCATAATAGCCAGAAGTTGGAAACTACTGAGATGTCCCTCAACAGAATACAGAATACAGAAATTGTGGTACATTTATACAATGGAATATGACTCAGCTATTAAAAACAAGCAAATTATGAAATTTGCAGGCAAATGGTGGGAATGAGAAAAGATCATCTTGAGTGAGGTAATCCAGAAGCAGAAAGACACACATGGTATATACTCACTCATTAGTGGATATTAGCCACATAATATAGGATAAGCATACTAAAATCTATACTCCTAAAGAAGCTAAACAACAAGAAAGACCCTAGGGAAGATGCTCAATCCTCATTCAGAAGGACAAACACAATAGACATCTGAATCAGGAGAAGACAGGGAACAGGACAGGAGTCTACCACATATGACCTCTGAAAGACTCTACTGATTGAGGCATCAAATCAGAGGCTGAGATTCATAGTCAAACTTTGGGCAGCGTGCAGGGACTCTTAGGAAAGAAGGGGGAAATAGAAAGACCTGGAAGGGACAGGCACTTGAAAAGGAGACCAAAAGAGTCATAAAAACTGATCCTTGGGGCCCCTGAAGAGAAAGATACCCCAACAAAGGACAATGCATAGAGAGGACCTAAAACCCTGACTCAGATGTAGTCCATAGACTCAGTCTCCAAGTGGGGTCCCTAGTAAGGGGAGCAGGGACTTTCTCTGACATGAACTCTGTGATCGGCTCTCTGATCACCTCACTCTGGGGGTTGCAGTCTTGCCAGTCTATAGAGGAAGACAATGAAACCAGTCTTGATGAGACCTGATAGACTAGGGTCAAATAGAAGGAGAGGAGGATCTCCCCTATCAGTGGACTAGGGGAGGGGCATAAGGAGAGAAGAGGGAGGGAGGATTGGTTTGGGAAGAGATGAGGGAGGGGGCCACAGCTGGGATTCAAATTGAATAAATTGTAATGAATGATAATAATAATAATAAAAGGAAATACTGCAGAACCATGCATGAGTCAAACAAACAAATATCTCATATACTCCATGGAAAGACTATGTTTTTAAATGGAACCACCTTTATTCATAGTGTAGGACAAACACAAGACAATGGAAGTATAAAATTGCAGCACATGAACTAATGTTCTTCACCCTCATCATCTCCTTCAGCACTATCTGCCCCAACCTCCTCATAGTCCTTTTCTAGGGCTGCCACATCTTCGCTGGCCTCAGAGAAATCTCCCTCCTCCATGCTTTCACCTGCATACCAGTGAACAAAGGCATGCTTGGCATATATTATGTCAAACTTATGATCCCGGTGAGCCCAGACTCCAGCAATGGCTGTGATGTTGCTGAGCGTGCACACAGACCTCTGTGCCTTGGCCAGGTATCCACCAGGCACCACAGTGGGAACCTTATAATTAATGCTAACTTTAAAGCCAGTGCGACACCAGCCCACAAACTGGATGGTATGCTTGGCCTTGATGGTGGTAATGGCAGCTTTGACATCTTTGGGAACTACATCAGCACAGTACAGCAGACTATTAAGCAATGGAAATTTTTACTTAATCATCAGAAGTCATTAGAATATTTAATAATTAATACCCATACAAAAAACAACATGTATTTCCAGAAATTATCTTTCAAAGTAACATTTCCTACCAGGATTTTAAAAGAAAGACAAAGAGATGACTTTTGTGGAAAATATATACTCTTTTAAGGAGGAATTTGTCTGTGATATTTAGTCATAACATTTATAAACAAGTTTTCAAGTGTGTGACAAAGTAGCCCTAGATATGTCAGACATAAGAGCCTAAAAGAATTTTGTTGTTGTTGTTTTAAAATGTAGTTACTGAAAGCAACTCCAAGGACCAAGAAATACTCTATTGTTGAGTGACGCTTCCAGTCCTCAGATAAACTTTTAAGTAATTTTTTAAAAAATGAATAATAAGGAGTGCAAGAAAAAGTTCATGCTGCCACGGGAAAGAACATGAGTTTGGGTTCTAGCACACAGGTTTGATGGCTCATAATCTCCTATATCTCCAGTTACAGGATGACCTCTGACCTCCACAGACACATACACTCACATGCATATAGTTTTAAAAAGAAACAAAAATGAATTTGGATGAAAACTGGTGAAAAAATCAGGTGCAACTCCGAAAGAAGACACTGAAGGAGAACAAACCTGGGTCTATAAAGATTCACATAATGGAAAGACTGAAAATTTATACCAAATCATGGTCATCAATTACTCCTACAAGATGGAGTTTTCTCTTTTAACCTGGAGACTTGGTCATGTCTAAATTGGGCTGTATTTTGTTCAGTAATAAAATGCTGTACTTTAAAAAAAAACAACAAACAAAAGAAAGAAAATTATAGACACATAATATAATAAAAAAGAAATTATTAATATCTTCAAACATTATTATAGAATAATACCATAAAACATAATTTCTCATCATATCATAAACATCTCACCACAGTAATTTGAGCTAAATTTAACTTACTGTCAAAATAACTGGTAAGAATTGGTTTTTCAAACTGATTTTTTTTCTATAGGACATATTTCAGAAGAGTGAACATATTTTTTCTTGGCCTTCTCATAAATTCAGGGCTTAGGATTCTATAACAAATGGATTAACAAGGGAAAAATGTGTAAATGCACTTGATATATGCGACACTGAAAAATGCACACACACACACAGAATAATGAGATGGATAAAACTTTACATCTATGCAGAATGGAGAAGTGGGTGACACCTTAGGAACAGATAAATGGCTTTAATGCAATGGAAATAAATTTGAGGAGAGATTCAGGGTCTATTTCATCAGAGGCCTCTGTGGATCCTTTGCCTTTGGAGATAAATATCTGTGTCCTCTGAGCACCTCTGTCAGGCAAGTCTTCTGAACTACCATAAAGGAGGAGAAACTGAGGAGGAGCTTGTAGCTCAGTGGAACCTTTCTTCCACAGTGATCTCAAATTTCTTCACATTGAGATACTCAGCAGGTAACGATTCCACAATTCCACAATTCCAAACTCCAGTAATGCATGTATACTACAAGAAACTGTTTCAGACACTAGCAAAAGCAATACACTATTTTCCTATAGATTAATTTTTATACCTTCCTTTACATCTAAAGCTAATTTTCTCAGGATTTTGCCAAGGCTTTTATTTTTTCAGATATTTAAATGGCAAAGTCATGCAACTCTACCTTTAAAGTATATCATTTGCAAGATAAATGCTATTTTAATTGATGAAATTTTTAGAACATGGCCATTTTAACTATATTTATAAAATCAGCGAAAATAATTATTTGATATACAATATGTTGAGAAGTCCTTACCTATCTATGTTGTTTTTTTACCGTTCAGTTTGAATAGAAAGCAACACAGAATAGTAATAGGCTACACTAGGGATTTGATGTTATTTTTTATTTCAAAGCAAAACCTTGAAGTGGGAGAGATAAAATAAACCACTTGGCTATACTGCAAGGTCAGTGCACATGCATGAACACAGGCAGGCGACCACTGCCTAAGAGGCTCCTGTCCTTCAAAGCATGTTTTGCTTCTCCCCTAGCATTTGAGGCTGAAAGCGCTATTCGCTGTCTCCGTGTGTTTAGTAATTTTCTCTTTGAATTTTTGTTTCATGGGAGGACTGATGGGACCATTGGGAGGGCACTGAGAGAAGTGTGCCTCTACTGGGTGTGATTCCAACTTTTCTGCTTCTCTGACTAAGTCCCCAACTGTCTCACTTCCCTGACACAGTCCTTGGTTTGCACTTTCCCCCACATCTTTGACAGCATTTCTTGTCAGCTGCTTTGTTAATCTTAACTATTCTGAGGAGGGGAAGACAAAAATCTCAAAGAAGTTTGAATTTGATTTCCCTAATTGTTAAGACTGATGAATACTATTGTGGGATTATTTTTACTCTTAGACAGTGCTCTTACCTCCAATTTTCACTAGTTCTTCCAAATTTTGTAGTTGCTTATGCTATTTGGAAGCAATGTTTTTTTTTTTTAAAGAATATTTTTCCTTTTATTGAAAGGGAAATATTTTTCCCCTATATTATATCCTGATTATGGTTTCTACTACCTCTACTCCTCCCATTTCCTTCCCACTTTCTATCCCAACTGGGAAGATCTTCTTTCTGTCTCTCATTAGAAAATAAATAGGCTTCCAGGGGAAAATGAGAAAGCAAAGTAAGTTAAGATAAAATAAAAACTAACACATTGGGAATAGTGCAAAACAAACAAACAAAACAGAATGAAAAGAGCCCAAGAAAATGCACATGAAATAGATATGGATTTAGACACCCGCTGGTTCTCACACTTAACAATGCCTTGAATACAGTAGATTGGAAGCCATAATATATTGACAAAGAACCTATACAGTGAAATAAGAGATTTTCAGAAAACTCTGAAAAGAGATAATGAGACAAGAAACCACCAAAGATGTCTTTGAGTACCTGTTCTGTTGTTGATATACTGATGGGTATGCAGCCTCCCCTTATTAGCACTTTGTTTACCCAGTGAGACTCTTTGAAAAAAAACTAATTTTTCTTTTGTAGGTGTTTACTATTTAGTAATAGCTTCTGAGTTAGGGATTGGGGGCATGTGTGTGTCTGCTTCTCCTTTTAGGTCTAGGACCGTATCTGGTATAGCCCCTTGTTGGCCTGTGCATGCTGTTTCAGTCTCTGTGAATTCACGTGTTCAGATCTTGTTGGTTTAGAGGACCTTGTTCCCATAGCATCCTACATACCTTCTGCCTCCTACACACTATCTGCCTCTTCTTCCACATTGTTCCTTGAGCCCTGAGATGAGGGATTTGAGGTACCCATCCCATTTAAGGCTGAGTGTCCTAATATCTTTCACTCTGTACATAGTCAGGCTGTGGGTCTCTATATTTGCTCCCATTTGCTGCATGAGGAAGCTTCTCTGATGATGGCTGACCAAGGAACTGGACTATGAGTATAGCAGAATATTTTAGGAGTTATTTTATAGCTATGCATTTCTTTTTTTAGAACATTAGAATCTGGTTTTACCTTAGGTCTCTGAGCTACCTAGTCTCAGTTCCTTGACACCCAAGTAATATTGGGACCGGGTTCTGTCTTATAGAGTGGGCTTAAGTCAAATCAGATATTGCTTGGATACGCCCACAACTTTTGTGCCACGATTGTACTTACATATCTTGCAGGCAGGGTGTCATTTGTAGATCATTGTTTGTGGTCAGGCTGGTGTTTATATTTCAATTTTGGTATCGTGCAGAATACCTTCCTGTATCAAAGATGCTAGTACATGGAGTGAAAGCTCTACCATCCTAACTGTTACTGTCTGCATAGTAATTCCAAGAAAAGGGGAAATTCTAACAATCATAAAATTTCAGGATCTTACACATTTCTTTAATTTTTAAAGCCATAAACATGTCTTTGAATTTATATTTTGTCACTTATTAAATACCCTCAATATATAAAATACGAACTCAGAGTTCATTAGCTTGACTGTCTAATTGATGAGATATTCTAAGGTAACACTGACATCGCTCCTGGGAGCAAAAATGCTAAGTGGCCATAAGAACATCAAAGGTTATTTGAATGACACAGTTAATTCATAAAAAAGAAAGTAATTGTGTCAACCAAGAGTGCTAGAATTATCAGTATAATTTTGTTCAATTTAAAGTAAATATTTTAGTAAAAGTGTTTTTCTTATATTCCTAGGTTGTGAAGCATGAAATGAAATGCTTTTCTAAAGTATTACAAAGTATATGAAATCATTTTTATAATTTATTGATGATTGATATACAATTATATATATATACATATATATATATATATATTCATATAATACTCAGAACAAACTTAATTTAGCATAGACCACAACAGGTACAAAGGTAAAATATCAAATGTAATAAATATGTCAAAGGAACATGTAATGTATAAAAACTGTACCTGGATTCTTATTTCTTTACATAGAATACTTATCATATGTGTTTTTGTTTACATCTGATAATATTTTTCCTACCTTAAACTCTCAGATTAAACACTCTTGTCATAGAAAGACTGGAGGGTCTTAAACAGAAGAGATTCTGATCAATTTTCTCTATCAAAGGGTTTACATATCTTTATTAACTCTTCCTAAAGGGCTGTATTGAAACAATTATTTGAACTTCTTTCTCTTCACAAACTCTGTTATTTCAGTCTATAAAATAATAGAGTATACTCAGTGTGGCCATCCTTATGTATTCAGATGCTATAGTTGCACCTTAAAGCTGTTTATTTTATGTTACTCTTGTATGTACCCCTCTTACTAATAATATAAACACAAGACATTTTGATAAATATATAAATGTCAAGACATTTGGATAAATATATCAATTTAAAAGGCCAGAATGTATAACACACATTCTTGGTAGATGTGTGTCATAATGAACAATCAAAAATGTACTTCATGTACATTAAAAGTACTACACTTTACAATGTCTCCTTTTTTAAAGAAAATGTAAAATAATAAACACAACATGTGATTAAAGAGAATGTGGACTTAT